CCTTATGTGCTTGTGAAACCTAGCACAGTGGCGTGATGAGGAGATAAGGAACTAAACAAGGTTAAGATCAAGCTTGAGAGGAATCAGACATGAACACTGACCATATAATCACGGATTTCATATTTATGCTCGTGGCAGCGGTAAACTTGTGTTTACCTAGCCGTGGGATCGGTCCGCCTGGTGTTACTGCTGGCCCAACAGGTCTTCTCACGGCACCAAGCATAGCAGGAGACAACGATCGTCATTTATCTCTGACTCATCATGAGTCATGACTAGAGTGTTGGCACAGATGCATCACTGCAAACAGGAGCCCTGCACACGCTGACATCCAAACACAGTACGTTCAGAAGTGTGGCAAGTTTTAGAGAAGCTTCTTAAAGTGACAATGGTGTCTGTGAAAAAGCGGAGTACATTCTCTGGTTTGTCGGCAATAATAACTGAGTACATACTCTCTTGCATGCCTTGTTTATTCAGTGCAACTATGGAGAGCCAACTTGAAAGTATTCTAAACTGTACTTTTTATCAATTGAAATAAGCTAATTTGTTACTCTAAACAGCCTACAGCCATTCACAGCGACTTGGATAACACAAACACAGTCACCTGACATAGATATGGTAAAAGCGTCACTGACCAAGAAACCCAGATCTAACAGAGATCTTTTGCTGGGTCATTTTGCATTTCTTTGCTAGTCCTTTTTTGTGCAACATTTCTGTCCTTCTCCATGCTGCAGAAACAACAGCTGGTTACTGATAATGTGCTCGTTCATAAAGAGGATTCTGAAGAATGAGCCAGCTGGCCTGTAGGCCAATGGGTATATTCAGTATCCGACCATGTACAACCAAACAAGCAACATAGTGCGGTCAATCACACTTTTACGGGGGTTGTTGGCCTTGCCCCTGTTTTCCAGCAACCCTCTACTAAGCCTCTAATACATAAACTTTCCCTGCAGGTGAGAGAACCATTACTGGATGTCCTCGACCTCAGTCAAGTGTGTATTCCCCATGCTTACTGCTGGGAGAGCTGCAGATGTGATTATTTAGCATTGCAATGCATTGCATCGGGCATAAAGCTGTCATTGTGCTGTTTGCGGCTGGCCGGGCCTCCAGCGGTGCCACACATCAACACAGTCCCACAGACAGACATATGGTGCTGTGATGCCGACCAGGGATAACTGGCAACAGCCGGGAGCATATAACAAGCACGCACGCACACACGCACGCACGCACACACACACACACACACACACACACACACACACACACACACACACACACACACACACACACACACACACACACACACACACACACACACACACTGACTTGCAAACACTGTATATTCACAGCTGCATGCTGACACTGACACTCACACAAATTACATTTCACCCTTCTCCCTTTGGTACTGTTTGCTGTGAAGATAGATGGATGGATCATGACGTAGAATTATAAGTGTGTGTATGTGTGTGATTTATGCCACAGTCTGCGCTCTCATCTGGAAATAAAAAGAATGCTGCAGAAAAGAGAGGCTGCAGAATTCCAGTTATTATTATTTTGGTGGTTAGTTTTGGGGTAAATGGTGGAGAACACTTTCCACAAATTGTTACTTTTTATTAGAACAACTTAACACCCACACATTAACCCACAGCAGAGTTGGGCTCATGGAGGGGGGAGTAGATAAGCAATAAAACATATGGGTTTTACATACATGGATCTACTCTTTGTGGTTGGTTGGTTGAGAAAGTTCAATATCTCACAAAGAGAAACACACATTTTGCCAGGCCACAAGTCAAGTGAGAGGGAGAGAGGTGGCCAGAGTGAGATACGGAGGTGTCAGATGGAGAACAGACCGCGAGAAAAGCGTGGGGAAGGAAATAACGTGTGATTGAAGAGTAAGAGTGAGACACAGTCGTAGTAGCAGCGATGGTGAGATGTCTGAGAGGGAATGAGAGAGCGAGACAGGAGCTGTGTGTGGAGGGGATAAGGGGGGCGGCATGAAGTGCCAGAGCAAGTTGGAAAAGGGCCAAAGAAATATGGAGTGTGGCCAGTGAGAGACTGCAAGGGACAATGATGGACTAAATATTCTTTGTGAATCAGTTCTCCAAGTGTGTTATAGGAGTTTCTCTTCAAGGAAAGCCCTTATTTTCTGTCATAATTAATTCTTCTTTTTTATTTTCACAGGCTTGAACTCTTCTTTTTGTTGGAAAATGATACCTAGTATGCTAACATTATTTTGCACATGCGAGCAACATGGCCCAGAACAACCCAGACTAAAATATCCCATCAACCATACTGAATAGTTTGCCCTTAGATTTTGGACTAAAGCAGATATTTAAGTTATTGTTTGCAAGTGACCACATTAGATGTGTGTTCAAGATGGCCAACCTATCTGCATGGTTTCTTTTGTGACGACCTAAGTGTCAGGTACTACGATGCTACTAGTGACGCTTCTTTCCAACACAAGAAGACACTTTGAAATCTAATTTGAGTGGGCAGAGCGTACAAATCTGTAGAAATCGATTGGAATCACATTTCAAACCACATTTCAAACCATTTTCAAATGTGGTCATGTCAAACAATGGATTTGGGCTGGTAGTCTGAACAAAGCCTTAGTCTTGCTTCTTTTCTTTCTTTTTGTTGGATTGTCCTGTCTCGATTGTCCAAATGTTTTATATCCGTTACTTTTCTGCAACCACAGTCAGCGTACTGCCCAAGGCTTAGAGAAAACGGGTCTACAGTAATCCCTCTGACAGGCATAACAGTCAACAATACAATGCCTTCTGCAACCACAGTCGCTGAATGGACAATAGGCCAGCGGCAGCCCACAAAGGTTTGCTTACAGTGAAGCCTGTCTGACGGAGTGCAGCTTTGACAGTCCATCAAATGAACACCTACTGTATCTCTGCTTCTCTGTAACCTTTGTTAGAATGTGAGCTGTGTGCACATCGTCAATAGAGACTTCCATATGTAAAGAATCAGAGCATTTAAATCGGAGCATTTATTCTAAACACTCGCTTCATAACACGTCTTGTGACAGCTTGTGAGTTTGGCTGCAGACCGCTTCATTTGCACACTGTGAAAACCAGCCATTTCATCTTGGAACTTCTGTGTGTGTGGTTTGTGAGGTCAAGGCACACTGTAGCCTAACTCAGGCCAGGAGAGATGCGCACCACCAGTTCGGCTTTGAGATTTTAGAGACATTCAGCTGCCGGCCGCAGGACATTCTCTCCAGCTTCCTTCTACGTTTAGGATTTGTGTTTTTGTCTTTGGAGGTGATTTGCAGCTGCTGTCTTTTCCCACACAGCTAACACACTGTCAGGTGGGTAAGAGAGAAGCATTCTAGCGTATTCATCTTAGTGGTGCCTTTGTCCATATTTTAACTTTTTCAAGAGGGGTCCCTCAGTGTACTGCACATATCTACAGAGAGTTGTGGCTACAGTATGTATGTTTACTTCAAGCCTGAGTAGGCAGCAAGGATCTGTATGCAGTCTGTGTGACGGTGAAGCACCTGAGGGCCCCTGAGGAAGATGGGAGCACCAGAGGGACATGCAACTGAGGCCCTATGCAAAACTTACCTCCACAAAGAAAGTCTGGTCACTCACAGTTGAGGGTAAATCATGAGGCATTGACAATATAAAGGTTTTAATACCTGAGTGCAGTTTTCTGTCTTCTTTTTTGTCAACTGTCTGTTGAATTCAGGGAGGTTTGGCAGATACATTTTTGCTTTGTACTGTAGCATATCCAACGAACAAGTTGGTTTTATTTAATGGCTTAAGGCTACAGAAGGAAAATAAAACATGACCTACCTACTTCCTGCAACTTGTGAGTGCGCTCCATTTCCCTGACCTGAGGGGTTTCAGAATTGTGTGAATTGTAACCACAGGACTGACCTCTGCTAACCTGCCATGTGAAAAGACATTCATTTTGATTGATACATGTGTGTATTACCGCTTAAAGGAATAGTTAAACTGGAGTGGGTGTCTGGGTTTTGTTTTTACATTTTGTTTATTTTATGAAAAAGTTAAACTTCTGCTAGTTGGTGGATTATTTTGTGGCCTCCAGACAGAGACAGGCGAGCTGTTTTCCTCTGTAACACTCTTTTTGCAAAGCTATTCTAACTGGCTCACTGGCTTATCAAAATGTTAACTTTTCCTTTAAGATGCAACACCAATGACTAGAAAAAAACTAGAAAACGAATTGTTTTTGTTGGCTCTGTTAGTTTTGCCAGAGATATGTTTGGTAGAGGTGTGTGACTCACCTCTGTTAAAAAGTGTGTGTTTTCTCTGTTTTGACAGACGTACGCTTCACACTCTGTCATGCATTAGCAGTCCATCTCACTACGGCTCAGTAACTGCTTTGAGAAGCTGATGGGGAGATTGAAAGACTTCTGGCTTCTGTATGGGGACTCGACTTTACTGTATAGACTAAAGTGTGTCTGTGTGTTTCATCCTTGACAAAAAGGGCCCTTGTTGAGTTTGGCCTCCTTGAATATCAGATGGCACATTACATTTAATCATGACATCCCGTTAGTGGTTTAAGTTTGACTCAACTGACTAAGTCAGGCTGGCCCATATGGAAAGCAACTTTTAGGATTTAAACATGATCTAGTTGCATGAATAAAAGCATTGAACATGATGCATGTGTGCAAATCCTGCTGGACCTCCACTCAGTTTTCTCTGCTTTGAAAAGGGGTTTAAAGTACTTTTATA